GTATCTGTGGCAAGGGAGGTGGATTGACATAGTATCCCTAAGTAAACCATGCGGTGAAGGGCGGTGTAGCAGCCAGCTGCGTGTTGTCAAACAGCGGCACTGCAAGGAGAGAGCAGAGAGGTGACCTCTGAATTTGAAAAATCTGAACTTTTCTGTGAAATCGCGTTTAACTGACCAATAAGGGACTAGTTGTAGTTGTGACGTAAGTTACAGAAGTGTAGCCAAAATGAAACTTTTTTGTTTGTGTTTTTTTAGTTAAAATGGAACCTGCTGGGCATGCAGGTGGTGCAGTGGTTAGCGGCACGACCCATGTACGCAGGCCTTAGTCCTCGACACGGGCGAGTGGGGTTCGAATCCGGCCTGGGGTCCTTTCCCGCATGTCTCTCCCTCTCTCTCATACCCCCTTTCCTGTCAGCCTACTGTTGAAAAAATGAGCCACTAGTGTCATAGAAACTAAAAAAAAAATAAATAAAAATAACAAATGGAACCAGCGACAGACTGGCAACCTGTCCAGGCAGAAAATGGATGGATTGATGGAACCTAAAGGAACAAATGTTGACAAAGGCTGGAATAAAGAATGCTTTGAATATATTTTTTTGTTTGCTTTAAAAAAGATTTTGATTTAGCTCTAGAATGATTGTTCCTTGTCCTCCCTTACCTCCAGCTCATCTGTTTCCAGCACTTCCCTGCATTTATGCTCTCTGCATGTGTAGATCTATACTGGAAAAATGATCCAGAAATAAATTAAGTGTATTTATCCTTAATCTGACTAGGTAAATTAGATAGTTTGCCAATGGAATTAGTATTTTTACTCTTAAAACTTGAAATAAGACAATGTAATTGTATTTTCTTATCTTAAGTGTAAATTGTCTTGTTTCATTGGCAAAATGTATCTTTTACCTCCTCAATCAAAGAACAAATGCCCTTAATTTAAGAAAAAATTACTTACCGGTATCTAGATTTCGATTTTTTTCCACTGTACAAGTAAGTACTGCTGAATCTGATCACCATCCAGACACTGCTCTGGATGAGCGTAAGTGGTCTACTTTTTCAGTGCTTCTGAGGCTTTTCCAAAAATTGATGTAGTCCCCGAGCTGATTCAAAAGTTGTGCATAGAGCACATCAGTCTGTAAAGTAATGTTTTACATGTGCTTTTATTATGAAGAGCTGACTTGGAGATTTTAACAGGAAAGTCTTTGGGGTTTTAAGGGGTATTAAGACTAGCTGTGACAAAGGCACTGATAACACACAGGTTTGGGATGCTTTAAATTCATTAAATCATTTATTATCTCATTCCTATACTAAAGTCTTTATGTGCACTATTGTCTCTTGCTGTGTGGTACATTCTTACATTTTCTATTTAAATGAATATCAACTAGTTTAAAAAATGGTAGTTTTCATAACTAAATCATTATCAATGCTTACTAAAATCTTAGTAAGCTTAGTAAGTTTAATTCCTAAAGGACTTTTACATTTATTTTAAAGTTATTGCACTTTACAGAGAAAGGAAGTGAATTTTGAGATTTTTTTTAAAGAATCAAGTAAAATTGGTCAACAAAAAAAGGTTTAGTGGGATTTATTTGAAAAGGAGAAAAAAAAACATCTATTTTTTTATCGGAGAGGAGCTTTTGCAGAAGAAAATAGTTCTAGGACCTTAATCAAAAAAGTGATTATGTTCATATCAGCAAATTGACGATAAAAGTTCACATGTTGCAGAAAAAAAAGGAGAAATGTTTTTTATTCTGTCAAGCAATAAAAGTGACATGAAGGAGGCAGGGAGGAAAAATTTGTATTTGTTAATTCTGAACTCTGCTGCTCCACTTGGATTCGGTGGACCCTTTAGCAGGATGGTTATGTGAATATCAGAAATGTCAAGTAACTGAGTATAAATACTTTGTTAGTGTATTAAAGTAGTTTTTCTCTGTATCTGTTATTGAGTGATTGTTTTTCTGAGGACTTTTTACATTTTGCTCACTACATTTAAAAATACATATCTATACTTTCTACTCATAATATGACAAAATGGCCACAACCAAACAGACAAAAAAATCTAAAGAACAGAGAGACTGTCCAAATATTTGCTTAAATAAAACCACTGATAGAGACGTGGATTAAGACAGGAGGCTGGGATACAAATGATGGATTATATGGATTATTAGATAAGAAATGTATTGCTAATGTTATGTCTCAAGTTCTACAGTATTTCAATTTTATTAGTAACTTTATATTGTTAATATCAACGTTCTAATAGTTTTCAACTGCTAATGGAGGCCTTTAGTTAACTTTAGTCTTATCCTTTTTTTAAATTTAGAATAAAACTAAAGTGAGTCACTTTCGTTTCCCTCGAAACACAGTAAGCAAAATAGGAAAACTAACTTTCTGTTCTTGGACCTGTTTTTCTTAGGTCTCTGTTTCTGTGATGTTTATCTTTTGATGTTCAGTTTTGCTTTGCTCGTTGTTTTATAGTTTTTTATGGTTTAATTTTTTGTTTATTGTGTTATTTCGGTTTTTCTCATTTACTGGTTCAGTCCTGGCTCTGTTATGTTTTTCTTTTGCGTTTTCAGTTTTACTTTGCTCGTTGTTTTATATTCTTAGTGGTTTAATTCTTATTTTGTTGTGTTTTTTATTTATTTTTTAGCTTTCTAGTTTTTTTTTTTTTTTGTTCCCCTCTACTGCCCTCTTGAGTTCTCCTTTTTTGTGTTGCTCCCTCCTTGTTTCTGCTCTGCTCACACCTGCTCCTAATCTGCTCGTTAACCCTCTCTTTGTTTCAGTCTCCTATAAATACTCTCTCTGTTCTGTTCCTCTTTGCTGGGTCCTTGTCTAACCTCGTCAGTCCACCTCCTACTCGTCTCTCTGAGCCTTCCTCCTGGTTAGTTATTCACCTGATGACTCCATACTTTTTTTTTTTTTTTTTAGATCTTTGAATTTTTGCACTCCTGGTTTCTTGTTTAGTTTTTGGACTTTGTTTTCAGTACTCATTAAAGCTGCAGTCTGTAACATTGAGGAGAGAGCAGACTTCGACTGAAAATTTGAAGAAAAACAGGTTTCACGACACTCCCCCACCCTCTCTGCTTCACTCATGCCCCACCTCCAAGCTCCACCCCTCTCACAGCATCTGCGCGGCTACCGCATGCGACCAGAAGGGGGGGGGGGGGATTCAGCGTGTGTGAGCTGTGATTGACACTCCATCAGACGCTCCTCTGGCTGTGATTGGTTGTTTTGACTCGTCCCGAATTATTCTTTCCAGATTGAAGTACAGGCAGTAGGCGGTACCAATTGAAGCAGTTTTTTTCACAGGTTACATATCACATGTACTGCTGTCTGGGCATAGGGACAGTTTTAGCCAATATGACAAAAAAGTGATTTTTAAAAACTTACAGACTTCAGCTTTAAATCTACTATAAATTCACCTCTTCCAAATGTTGGCTACATATTAAGTGTTTTTTCTCTGGCCAGAAGTTCGACGGCAAATCCTCCCTCTTCAAGTTGACAATCCAACGACTAACCCGTCCGTGGAGGATCAGAAATCGGAAAGGTGAAATAACTGTTTTTTTTTACTTTTACATGTTGCACTCCCAAAACAGAAAGGACTCCATCTTCACTTTTGTCAACTTTATTTGCCCCACACTGCACGTTTTTTTTTCTTTTCTTTTCTGATTGTTCTCTCTGGAGCAGCCGGACATGGATATGCAGATAAAACCATCACACTCTTGCCTCCTTCTTCTTCCTTGCAACTCCCGCCACTAACATTAACGTAGTACCTAGATCAGATGTGCCTAAACAATAGCAACTATAGATGTGAAGTTCTAAACAACAAAATTGACCAAAAAAATAACGGTCACATTGAACAAATCAATAATACAGTGAACAAATATATCGAAATGAAATATGCTCAGGGGGCAACAAACAAAATGTATTCCAACATCGAGCTGCCTTGCACGTGGGCATTGTCAGTTTAACTATAGTTCTGGTGTATTTCAGTAGTGAAGTCCTCTGGAAATCTTCAATAATTGTTGTTGATTGCAGATGTGTCTAGTAGTTCCCATTGATTTTGCTTGTAAAGCGGGGAGAATGGCGCTCGGCTTACCGCACCGTGACGTCACTGCTGGAAGATGACAGGAGTGAGGTGTTACTATATTCGGGCAAAAATGGCCGCTCCCAGACTTGCAACGAAAATTGCTTTCATTTTTTATTTTATTTTTTTACTGATTAATGCTAAATTCATTAAATCACCGCAGACGTATTAGTTTTAGTTATAGATAATGATCCATTGATTATTCGCTGCTGCCCGGACTTTAAAAAAAATGTTCATTAAGTGTCTTAGATTTGGTCACTATGATTAAGATACTTCACTCCTTTGTTGGTGCTCTGTATTGTAGCAAGGCTCTAACATTTTGCATTGAAGACCAGTGGCAAAATGTTTTTTTGACAAAATAGAAAAATAAAATACTAATCTGGGGCCTTGAGACCCAAATTCTAAATAATTAGCTATCAGGAAGCAAATTATGGTGCCCTGCACAGGTTTGTGTTTGATCTTAATGAATGTAGGAGGAGGGGAAGAGCAGGTGGTGGATCAACTGACTTTTTCCTCATTTCGCAGTACTTTAAAAACTACAGCTAAAATAATAAACTTTTTTTTTTCTTTTTTAATCAGTGTAGTAGCCAAAGGGATGACGAATAAAATCGGTGTCAAATCTTCCATTTCTAACAAAGTATAACTATAGATTTCATGATATGCATGGAAGGCTCTCAAATGTTCTGGGAATGACTGCATGAATCATTCTTTTCTTCATTCTCTGCAACCATTTTTAATTAATCCGCAAAATGCGACAACTTGCAGAAGTTTACACATTACTAATCTTATTAATCGGAATTAGAGAGCATCATTGTGACCATCTGCTGCCGCTGCGCGCCCTGTTTGGATGCTGCAGCCGCCTCGGCTCGGCCCGCCCCCTCTGTGTGTGTGCTGATCCTGGCGGGCGGAGTGATCCGCGCTAGTATCCGTTCAGTGCGTCTCTGTGCGCGTTGGTGCGATATTCGGTTGCTCCTGTCATTCACTGTGCCGCGGCGCGAACACGGGTAGCGACAAGGACCAAAAATCCATCCTGTTGCAGCTGTTATTTACGTGCCTGGAGGAAAAAAAAAAACAACCAAAACAAAATCCATCAGAGGCTGGTTTCTGTTCATCCAGAAGCTCCTCACAAGATCTTCAAGGAGAGTATCTGTGAGACATTACAATGCTTCAGATAAGGGACATCCTCTGGGGACTGTTGTTCACCGGCTGTGCAGGTGAGAGCACTTGTTTCTAACAATAGGCTGTGTGGAGATTAAGTCCAGGCTGTTTTCTGACTGGAGGCAGAGCAGCATCCTCTGGTTGCCCCCCCTCCGGCTGCACTGACTCCGGACAGGGAGTAGAGAGGCTGGTGCAAGGGGCTCTAATTTCATCCACAAACAAGGCAGACCCAAAAAGTTTCTGCAGGAAGAGAAATGTCCCTTATCTATTTACAGATGGAGCTTGGATACATTAATTCAATCTAGTTGGACGCAGACTCTCATAAAAGACACATTTTTGTTTTCTTAACAGTTTTCTTATCTGTAACTGTTTTTCATTTCTTTTTTTTCTTTTTAGTAACTGCTTATTTTCCCCAGTCTGAATCTATCTCTTGGTTTTCTATGAGCTCAGTTGTTGTTTTTTTTGTTTTTTTTTCTGAGATGCTGGCAGGGACCGCAGGGGGGAACATTTCTGTGGTTCCTTAAATGAAAGCTATCGGTTTTATAACTATAGGCTCCACATCTTAGCCTGCAAATCTTCTTTACAGCCTTTTTTTTTCTTTTTGTTTAATTTTTTTGTTTGTTTGTTTTGTCCAAAAAGTCCCCATGGTCTGTTTTTACCCCCCCCACGGGCTCTTAGAGACGCGCCACGGATGGCGTGTGTCTCTTTTCGCGGGGAAGCTTTGTTACAGGCAGGTTTAACATAATCAAAATTCCACAATTTAATATTTTGAAATGTTTCATCTAGACCCTTAACTACCAGCTGAATTAACTGCGATTGTGCTGCACCATCCTCTGCTTTGTATAAAATGAAATAAATTTTAATGCGTCAGTTTGGGATTGAAGTATCCATATCTACCTGCAGTCCAGACAAACAACAATTTGCCATCGTTTTATATCAGAACCACTATTCATGTATTTTTCCTCCAATTAAGTTACAAACTATTTAGAAGCTGTTCTTTTCTCTCTCTCTATGCGCTTTGGCTGCGGCTCCAGACTGGTTTGATCGCAGTTTTCAGTTTGGGCGGTTGGAAAGAAATTCGTCATCCATTGAAGGAAACTCAATGCTCATTCAGTGTATACAATAGGAGCCAATTGCAAAGCTCCCATGGTTATATAGTGCAGGGGACCCCTCTCCCCCCCCTCCTAGTCAAACACCCTCCCCTGCTACTCCCCACCCCCTTCTCTTACTGCAGCTCAGGGCTCCAAGTGGAGTTTGAGGACCCCCAGGGGTCACTGGTGAGAGGAAAAAGGCAGTTTGATGTTGTTATTCAATTAAGTGGACATTAAAGGTTACATTAATGTTTATTCTGACCTCTGGTTTCTGTGGCATGATTCCTGAATGTGTTCTCTTCTGCATGTACTTCAGTTTAACTCTGTGGAAAACCATTTCAGATTCCTTTTTTTAAAAAGATAATTTTGCTTCATTCGATCGTTACCCTTACATGAGTTACATTTCAATGACTTGCCAATATGGTTATACTTTAATCAAGCTGCCATCTCTGTTCTTTATTTTTTTTAGCACGTTAGTTGTTGACCTGCAACAAGAGTCTGAACTCATCAATGGCTTAAAGCCCACCAGGAACAAGATCTTTCAGCATTAAATGACCTTTTCTCACCATCTATTTGTGGGTTACTTCACTGTCTCACATACAGTAGTCCCATAACATGTATGTTAGGTCTAATGGTCTCTCTAAACTGATATATGGTTATCTGTCTGTGTACTCGTTTATCTCTCATTGATTGCTAGATGAACTCGTATGTAGGTGCATTGATTTAGTTCTTATGTAATAGGGAGATGGCTATAAAAAAATGTCCTCTTTTTCGTAATTAGGCAAACTGTATATTCTGGGTGGTGTTTTGACCTAAAGTCAGATTATACAGTATTTAGTCCTAAATTGAGTGAATTTAATAACAGGATGTGCTGAATCTGGCTTGGTCATATTACACAAAGTTGACTCTGTAAAAAATATGTCTAAAAATAGCAGTATGCTGATGCTAAATTATTATATAACATAGCTTTACTCTTCATATAGAGGACAAACCTAAAAAGGAAAAAAAAAAAAAAAAGTTCCATTTTAGACTGGAAAATAGAAAAGATGAACTCTGACCCTGGGTCCTCTTTTGGCCAAGGTTCTGATGCTGATTAAAATCTCTGAAACGTGATGACTGCATTGAATTGGACAAGTCATTTGGACTTTTTACCGATTACAGGTGCTAAATAAGTCCCAACAAAACTTCTGGAGGTTGCTTGAAAACACCCATCACAATGTTGCTTAAGAATTGTCACGACGGACAGTTTCATTGGTGTTTTCAGTGTCAGGCAGAGAATACCAAATGATAAGAGGCATGATATTTTTAAAGATAACTGTAGGATACAGGTTCTCAAAAACCTACTTAAAAACAAAAATGGGAAAAGGCATAGTCACATTGAATCATTTGGCAATTAAAAAGCTGAGTGAGGAAATAGGTGGGGTTCCTCAAGGCTCCATTCCGATGCCATTATCTTCACAATGGTATCCGTGCTTCCCCATAGCTTTGATTATGCTTCATTTAACAAGTCTTGTGTTTTCTGTGTTTGTGACACCATTTAATATAAATGAACCTATATGGACTTTATATTATCTGATTGCTGTTATGGGTGATAAACACGACTTACAATGTTTTATATAAATGTTTTCTTCTCTGCTTTAGTTACAGTGCCCACAATCCCAAACCCCTCCCCTAAAGATACATAAAAAAGAATATGGAAAAGTATATCTCATTATTCAGTATTGGGTCCATTTTTACTTCTGTTACAATTGACCAGCATTAGCAGATGTCAGTGTTGAGGTCCATAAATGATGCATTCCTACCAGTTAACCTCACAGACATGGGCTGTTTTTCAATTCACAGGAACCTGAGTACCAACTGGTGCTCTCGCCAAGTATTTTATTGACAAGAACACAGGAAATTATGGACTTGGGGAGAACGGTAGCATGCAGCATAAATCTGGGTCAATTGGAATGGAAGCGTACTCGAGACGTCACCACATGCCGTCTGGAGCTGCGTTTCACCTTCTGTTATTAATAGTCTCTAGATCAGGCATCCCCAAACTCGGTCCTTGAGGGCCGCTGTCCTGTAGGTTTTAGGTTTCCCTGCTTTAGCACAGCTGATTATGATGATTGCAGTAGAGCAAAAGCCTGTTAATCAACTATCAATTAAAATCAGCTGTGCTGGAGCAGAGAAACATCTAAAACCTGCAGGACAGCGGCCCACTAGGACCGAGTTTGGGGATGCCTGCTCTAGATAATAATAAATTCTGACTTTTTTTTTTCATATAGTGGGGGAATAATAATTAACACAGTCAAATAAACTCAAATTAATTTAACATTTTGCCAAAAAAAAAACAAAAAAATTTGCCATCAGAGCCAGCGGTACCTTCCACACTGGCTGCTACAGATGGGCTAAGGTTACCCTTGGAGGTCCGCTGGTTTCCATGGTCCTCTGAAAACATCAGAACTTTTTTAAATTACTCATTAAATCAGTAAATGGGCCATATAGTGACACTTAAAAGTATAATGAGCTGAAAACATACTTTTATAGAACAACGGCAACAGAAAAGGGATATTTTTCCTTAATACTCGGAGCTCTTTGAGCGCTAATCTGGAAGCTGCTGCTGCCGTGCATGCTGGGGCAGCTGTCAATCTTAAGAACGGACAAGTCTGCTCTGATGCATGCTGGGTAAAGAGGGAGGGGCAAGAACAACATCCGGGGACCTTTCTGTTCTCGTTCTAGTATTCTTGGGAATCGGAACAGTGCTAGGGTTGAGGCTGCTGATGTTTTTTCGAGTACACAAGCACATGAGAACGCACTAGTACACATATTGAGAAACGGCCATGGACTGGGTCTGCAGAGGTTTTCTGAAAGCCTGAGATCATCTAAAAATGTTGGCTACTTTGAAACAGGGGGATGGTGTTCTAGTGTACAAATACAAAAGATATTTGTTAGTATGTTAGTTTGTTGCAGCTTTATTATTTAAAAAAGTTAACATCATACTGTATTTTTTTACCATGAGATATTTAGCCATGTTACACCCTCACTTATCTTTAAAACATTTCATCTTCCATTTTAAAGTCCTGTATCATTCCTGGATTAAAAAAAAAAAAGATACAGAATCAACAGATCAGCAATATTTCTTGGCAACTTGCAGACTTCAACTATGGGTCTCCCTTTGCATCATGCTGTGTAGACAGTCATGCTCTACCAAGTAAACCCTGGATGTGTTCATTTTTTCCATATGATTCATGATCCTGCAGAGATATTCTAGATCCCCTGCAATTTGCTCCACCTTGGAGGAGTAGGAAAAAAACGAACCAACAGGGAGATAATTAGACCTCTGTGGCTTGGCTGTGCCCTGTTGCAAGGGGGAGAAATTCAAATAAATTGATCCCATTATTTGATAGATTTGATGGAGCTGGGGTGTATTGAAAGGGTAATGACAGCATCTCGCTGTTTTGAGGGCTGAGCAATTTAATTACATTTATTGATTTCCTGTTTCTCATGCAGCTTGCCGATAATTGAATTTTGAGGCTATAGCCATATATATTAGAATGCAGGGCCATGACACCTCTCAGGAAATAACTGAATTATTGCCAGGGTGAATAAGAGATAATTTTAGGAGTGGGCATGGACAATGCTCTTTGTTGCCTGGGAGTCTAGCAGTCTGCTAGACTTAAAGCTCTCTGTTAATCGGAGTTATGTAGGATATCCATGGTGATCAGTGAACAATCTAAAGTACTTTTACTAACTGTTTTGTGGTAGTTCTAGAAAAAAAAAACACCCTTTGTGAAAAATATGTCCTGCCTAAAGATTTAAGTTACAGGTTTGGACAGAATTGCTGCAGGATTACTTCTGATGCTTCGTTATAAATTAGATTTTTTTGATTGAGTGAGCTGATGTGTACAGGTGTTGAGAGGTTTTTCCATCACTTTGCTGTTTATGGTCTTGAGCTGTCAGCTGCTGGAAAATGAATGTAG